AGGTGATCCTCCCGCCTCAGCCTCCCAAAGTGCTAGAATTACTGGCTCATGTTTGTTGAATGACTGAATGTGTGGAATTGAATCTCAGGGGAGAGTGTAGTCTGGAGATATAATTCTGGGGACACAGTATGTCTGAGGCAGCTCACTCAGGGAATGGGGGCGGACTGACATTGAAAGAGGAATGTGTGAGGGAGGAACAGAGAACAGTGAAAATGGGAGGTTTTCATTATATGTGCCCACTGAGTGCTAATTTTTGTATTTTTAGTAGAGACGGGGTTTCACCATGTTGGCCAGGCTGGTCTTCAACTCCTGACCTCAGGCCATCCACCCACCTTGGCCTCCCAAAGTGCTGGGATTACAGGCGTGAGCCACTGTGTCCAGCCTGCGAGATCTATTTCCATGCCAAGTACTAACCACTAAACAGAAGAACTCATAGAGGCCGGGCGCGGTGGCTCACGCCTTTAATCCCAGCACTTTAGGAGGCCGAGGCGGGTGGATCGCCTGAGGTCAGGAGTTTGACACCAGCCTGAACCCAGGAGGCAGAGGTTGCAATGAGCCGAGATCGCGCCACTGCACTCCAGCCTGGGTAACAGACTGAGACTCCATCTCAATAAAAAAAAAAGAAGAAGAACTCAAAGAAGTTTCCCTCAAACACTTACCTAGACAATTCCGTCTCCTGAAGCTCAGGCTGTGTATGTGCTAGGACTTCACTAAGCACTTACTGAGTAAGCAGCGCCTTTGAGGTAGGTGGCCTCACCTCTGTTTTGTTGAGAAAACTGAGGCTCAGAGAGGTGCAGTCTCTTTTTTTTTTTTTTTTTTTTTTGAGACGGAGTCTCGCTGTGTCGCCCAGGCTGGAGTGCGGTGGCGCGATCTCGGCTCACTGCAAGCTCCGCCTCCTGGGTTGACGCCATTCTCCCGCCTCAGCCTCCCAAGTAGCTGGGACTACAGGCGCCCGCCATCACGCCCGGCTAGTTTTTTGTATTTTTAGTAGAGACGGGGTTTCACCATGTTAGCCAGGATAGTCTCGATCTCCTGACCTCGTGATCCACCCGCCTCGGCCTCCCAAAGTGCTGGGATTACAGGCTTGAGCCACCGCGCCCGGCCGAGAGGTGCAGTCTCTAACCTGAAGCCACACAGCTGGGAAGCAGCAGGGCTGGCACCTGACCCTCAGCCACTCCACACGTGGCCGCTTCCACGAGAAGGCCATCGGAGAGCCTTGCCGATGACAAGGTAGAAAGCATGGTGAGGATTATTTCTGGAAGGGGATAGGCTTCCGAAGATGCCTGTGTCTGACATCAGGCCCTCTTGGTTGTCTTCCCAGGATGGTGACAACAAAGCTCGACCAAGGCATGGCTTTGGAGGAGTGGGCTCGGCACCACAGTCATTCTATTATTTTTGTTTGTTTGTCTGTTTTGAGACAACAGAGTCTCACTTTGTTGCCCAGGCTGGAGTGCAGAGCGCGATCTCGGCTCACTGCAAGCTCTGCCTCCCAGGTTCAACCGAGTCTCTGTCTCAGCCTCCCGAGTAGCTGGGATTACAGGTGCCCGCCACCACGCCCAGCTAATTTTTGTATTTTTAGTAGAGACGGGGTTTCATCGTGTTGGCCAGGCTGGTCTTGAACTCCTGACCTCAGGTGATCCACCCACCTTGGCCTCCCAAAGTGCTGGGATTACAGGCATGAGCCACTGCGCCCGGCCCATAGTCATTCTATTATCACCAGAGTTGAGGTCATGAATGCCAGATTTGACCGACCTTTCCCTTCGACTCTCAAGACCGGCAGCCCCAAGCGCAGACACAGACGCACGCTGAGTTCATCAGTCCCGGCGTGTGGGCTCCAGGTGGCTCTGTCTGCCCTCTGTGCTCTGCCTCCTGGGAGACACGTCGAAGCCAGTGCTGCTCAGTGGAGGTGGGATGAGTCCTGGGCTGGGTGCCTCAAGTGTGGGGACACTTGGGACCGCCACTCCTGCAGGCCTCAGCTTCTCTGTCATAAGTTGGTCTTGGGTAAAGATAGAAATGTTGCTAACCCGTTGGGGCTGGGGGTGCCAAGAGGGAGGCCTGTCCCATAGAAGGGTTCAGGACATGGAGAAGCTCCCCCTCTCCCCTGCACCAGCTCCTTCTGGCTTGGACACAGAACCAGAGGCCTTCCTGGAGGAAGGGGCCCAAGGAGGGCGGGCGGGGATGGACGATGCCCTCGCTCTCCCGGATGGAGCTGGAGACAGCGGGACAGACTCAGGACGCTGAGGATCAGGGACCTTTGTCATGCCTCATCTGTTGCTCTCTGGGACCTGCAGGGGGCAGCAGTGACCAAGCTTAGGCTTCGGGAGCATGTGGCTTGGCTCCAGTTCCAAGGTGAAAGGGGGCTTGGAGAAGAGGTGGGTGGACCGTGAGAAGAAAGAAAAGGACATTGGTGGGTGGCCTTCCTGGGGCCTGCAGCGGGGAGACAGGAGACTCTGGGACTAAGAGGCCTGGAGAGTTCTGTTACCAGAGACCTGAGCCCTGGGGGAAGCAGAAGAGAGTCCATTACTCTGAGCTCCCCTTGGACAGGTGAGCTTGGGGTAGGGTAAGGAGTGGAGGGAGATGACATATCTGGCCACAGGTGCACTCACAGATTTGCCCTGGAGGTATACAGCCACACACCCCATATCCCAACACACACACACACACACGCGCACACACACACACACACACACACGCGCACACACACACACACACACACACTACCCTGAATCTCCACAAAGAGTCTTTCCTCGAGGAAGGGGCCACAGCCTGGAGAGGAGTGTTATCCAGGACTATTCCATTTGCAAACAACAGAAACCAAATCCAAGGGTTTAAATAAAGGAAGGACATTTATTGGTTTACATAACTGAAAAGTCCAGAGGTAGATTTTTCAACTGTGCTTCATGTATGGCTGAATCCAGGTGCTCAAAGAGCCTTGTCAGGATTCTGCCCCTCTCTATCTCCTGGCCTGGCTTTCCTCTAGGTGAGCTTCATTGTCAGGATTGCTCTCTTCAGAAGGCGGCAAAGATGACTACCATAGTTTTCGTCTAGCAGCCACCCTGCTTAGCCACTCGGTAGACAGGATGTTTCTTTCCTGGCAATTCCCAGAAAAGTCGTGGCCTCGTTGCTGAAACTCCCCAGGTCATGTGCGTGTCCTTAGACCCGTCAGTGTTACTAGGGGGATGGAACATTGATTGGCAAGCCTTGGTCATCTGCCCAACTCCTGGGGCTAAGAGGAAGGTTAGCCACATGGAAACTTCCAGACTGAAAGTGGAGAACCCAAAGGAACAGGACTGCTCAACACTGGGAAGGCAAGGCCAGAATTTCCCAAGAAAGCTGGAAAACCTCCCGACTGAGCCACTCCCACAGTGCCCCGACTGAGGGGCTGGACGCTGCAAGCCCTGGAGAGGACCACTTCCCTGCTCTGTTTTCCCCGCTGTCTCCCAGGGGGTCCCAGTATGGCTGGATCATAATAACAACTAATGTCTATACTGCATTTATTCTGTGCCATTCCCATTCTGAGTGTTTCTACACGTATGAACTCACTCATTTGATCACTACAAGAAATACCATTGTTGGCTGGGCGCGGTGGCTCATGCCTGTAATCCCAGCACTTTGGGAGGCCGAGGCGGGCGGATCACAAGGTGAAGAGAACGAGACCATCCTGGCCAACATGGTGAAACCCCATCTCAAAATACAAAAAATTAGCTGGGTATGGTGGCGTATGCCTGTAATCCCAGCTACTCAGGAGGCTGAGACAGGAGAATCGCTTGAACCCGGGAGAGGGAGGTTGCAGTGAGCTGAGATCACACCATTGAACTCCAGCCTGGGTGACAGAGCGAGACTCCGTCTTAAAAAAATAAAATAGCCAGGCGCGGTGGCTCAAGCCTGTAATCCCAGCACTTTGGGAGGCCGAGACAGGCGGATCACAAGGTCAGGAGATCGAGACCATCCTGGCTAACCCGGTGAAACCCCGTCTCTACTAAAAAATACAAAAAACTAGCCGGGCGAGGTGGCGGGCGCCTGTAGTCCCAGCTACTCAGGAGGCTGAGGCAGGAGAATGGCGTGAACCCGGGAGGCGGAGCTTGCAGTGAGCTGAGATCTGGCCACTGCACTCCCGCCTGGGTGACAGAGCGAGACTCCGTCTCAAAAAAAATAAAAATAAATAAAAATAAAATAAAATAAAATAAAATAAAATAAAATAAAGAAGTACCGTCGTTATTCCCATTTTACAGATGAGGAAACTGAGGCACAGGGGGATTGAATAACTTACCCTAAATCCCACAGTAAGTAGTGGACCTGGCATTTAGACCCAGACTGTTAGGCATTGAAGAGTATATTCTCAGCCTTCGTGCTCTGCTGGGACCTCTGGAAGGAGAGGCACCCTGGGAAGGATTGGGGTCTGAGAGGCTTGGCCTCCAGGACCCAGCAAACTCTGTTCTTGGAAAAGGATTGGAAACAGTATTTGAATTAGCATTTTTCTTTCTTTCTCTCTCTCTCTTTTTTTTTTTAAACAGCGTTTTGCTCTTGTTGCCCAGGCTGGAGTGCAATGGTGCAATCTCAGCTCACTGCAACCTCCAGTTCCTGGGTTCAAGCGATTCTCCTGCCTCAGCCTCCCAAGTAGCTGGGATTACAGGCGCCTGACACCAGGCCAAGCTACTTTTTGTATTTTTAGTAGAGACAGGGTTTCACCATGTTGGCCAAGCCGGTCTCAAACTTCTGACCTCAGGGGATCCACCCACCTCGACCTCCCAAAGTGCCGGGATGACATGCCCAGCCAGAATTAGCATTTCCATAGCGAAAGCACCGTGGCACTTCAGGCCCAGGCCAGCAGGGGGAGGCACGGGAGGTTGTCCTGCCTTTAGCCCAAGCCAGGTGCTTTAGGAGCAGATGGTGGTTCAGAGGCACACCTGGGGAGGGCACCGGAAAGGATGTGACGGGTCCAGCTGCTGCCAGAACCACAGCTCCCTCTCCGTCCCCCGCTCTGTCCCCTACCCGCACAGGTGGGTGTTCCTCTACGAGAAGGGCTACCAGACCTCGAGCGGCCTCATCAGCAGCGTGTCTGTGAAACTCAAGGGCCTGGCCGTGACCCAGCTCCCTGGCCTCGGCCCCCAGGTCTGGGACGTGGCTGACTATGTCTTCCCAGCCCAGGTGAGCTGACTCAGGGCTGCGCCTTCCCCTCACAGGGCCTGTCTCAGAGCTGGGTGGGACCAGCCCAGCTCCTCTTTCTCTCTGGACCTCTGCCGGGCAGAGGCAGCCTGGTGATATCACCCCATGTGGGTGGTGGCTGCTGCGTGTCCTGTGGGCTCTAGGGTCCTGCTGGGGCAGCGTTGGGGCCCTTGAGGCTGTTCTCCCAACCCACCCTGCCCTCCCCCTGCCCCTCTTCTAGGGGGACAATTCCTTCGTGGTCATGACCAATTTCATCGTGACCCCAAAGCAGACTCAAGGCTACTGCGCAGAGGTGAGAACTTCTGCCCGCCAGCCCTGTTCTCGGACTCAGGGGGGAAAATGACCTGCAGACAGTCTCCATGGGCACTGAGAGGACGCCAGAGAGCCTTCCTGCAGGGGCCACGGTGGTGCAAACTCGGGCATATATTCACACACAGTAACTGTCAACCCTTGCAGAGCTAAGCCTTCCCGCCCAGCATACGGTGTACCAGGCAGGGTGCCGAGACTGTGCCCACCCCCACCACCCAGCTGACATTGACAGTGGGCGGCTGGGCATGAGCCCGGCGGGGGGGGCCTCGGCAGAGCAGTGTGGGGGGAAACGGGGGAAGGAGGCTGTGAGCAGGTGTCACTCCAGAGAGGTCTGAGACTCTGCCCCACGCTCTCCCTAGGGTCCTGGGGGCGGGAGGGGCTCTTCTCAGGACCCCACCCAAGGGGCCTGTGGCCAGCAGCTTTCGCCTCCCCCAGCACCCAGAAGGGGGCATATGCAAGGATGACAGTGGCTGTACCCCTGGGAAGGCCAAGAGGAAGGCCCAAGGTAAGGGGTCAGCCTCCTCCTGTCCCTCCACAGTCCCCCGGCTGCAGGCCCTGGCGTCCTGCAGGCCCAGCTTGGTGCTGACCTGCCTCTTCCCACACCGCTGAGGCGGGTTCCGGGAGGGACTCCCTCCAGCCCTCTCTCCTCCCCGCCCAGGCTTGGCCTGCCCGTCCCGGACCCAGCCACATGTCTGTCCTCGGCTCCTTTGCTCTAGTGGCCCGTCACTGGAGGCTCCTGGGGAAGGGGCCTGGGGCGGCCTCCTCTACACCCCAGTTTAGTGCAGGCACCCAGGGGTTTCTCTCTGGCTCCAGGCATCCGCACGGGCAAGTGTGTGGCCTTCAACGACACCTTGAAGACATGTGAGATCTTTGGCTGGTGCCCGGTGGAGGTGGATGACGACATCCCGCGGTAACGCTCTGACCTTCCAGGGAGCTAAGAACAGGGTCCCACGCCAGACAGAGGGGGGCCTGGGTCTAGAAAGGATCTTGACCCCTTTTTCTGACCCCACCCTCACCCCATCCGCACAACCTAGGCCGAAGATTCCCCTGGGCCCCGGCCACCTTAGAGCACACCCACCCCCCCGCCGGCCCAGGGCTGCAGGCGGGTCCCCGAGGCTCGGCCCACCCCCTGCTATGCCAAGCTCTGTGTGGGACACACAGGGGGCCTCCTGGGGAGGGGCGGTGAGTGAGTGTGGTGTCCTCCAGCCCTGCCCTTCTTCGAGAGGCCGAGAACTTCACTCTTTTCATCAAGAACAGCATCAGCTTCCCACGCTTCAAGGTCAACAGGTGCGTGAGAAACTAGGGCAGGAATGCAGGTGGCTGGCCGAGGCTGCTCCGGGAGCTCTCCACAGTCTCTATCTCCCTCCATCTCCATTCCTGTTGGCATGGAAGGAATCAAAGGGGCATTGCGGAGCCTGTGAGGGGTCCCCAGGCTTTGGGGCGTGGCGCGCACCTTCCCGGATGACACACAGCTGCTGTCAACACCTTCCACCCCTATAGGCGCAACTTGGTGGAAGAGGTGAATGCCGCTTACATGAAGACCTGCCTCTATCACAAGAGCCTGCACCCCCTGTGCCCAGTCTTCCAGCTTGGCTACGTGGTGCAAGAGTCAGGCCAGAACTTCAGCACCCTGGCTGAGAAGGTATGGGGCATGGTGCCAGGCGGGCGGGGAGGGCTGGTCCGCAGGATCCTGATAACGGCTTTTTAGGCCCAGTGCATCCTCCCAAGTCTCCTTGGTGAGGGCTGAGTATATTATGGGTCTGTCCCCTGATACTGGGGCCCCCTGAAGGTCAGATCCATGTCTTCAGCGGGTCCTGGCATGGAACTGGCACAAAGGAGGTGTCCAGAATGAACGGATGTGGGCAAACCTTGTCATCTGGATGTTTGTTGATGTCCTGCTTAAAAAAAAAAAAAAAAAAAAACTAGATAAAAGCAGCTTGGTCAGGTACGGTGGGTCATGCCTATAATATCCACAGAGGCGGGTGGATCACTTGAGGCCAGGAATTCGAGACCAGTCTGGCCAACATGGTGAAACCACATACACACACACACACACACGCGCACACACACACACACACACACACTACCCTGAATCTCCACAAAGAGTCTTTCCTCGAGGAAGGGGCCACAGCCTGGAGAGGAGTGTTATCCAGGACTATTCCATTTGCAAACAACAGAAACCAAATCCAAGGGTTTAAATAAAGGAAGGACATTTATTGGTTTACATAACTGAAAAGTCCAGAGGTAGATTTTTCAACTGTGCTTCATGTATGGCTGAATCCAGGTGCTCAAAGAGCCTTGTCAGGATTCTGCCCCTCTCTATCTCCTGGCCTGGCTTTCCTCTAGGTGAGCTTCATTGTCAGGATTGCTCTCTTCAGAAGGCGGCAAAGATGACTACCATAGTTTTCGTCTAGCAGCCACCCTGCTTAGCCACTCGGTAGACAGGATGTTTCTTTCCTGGCAATTCCCAGAAAAGTCGTGGCCTCGTTGCTGAAACTCCCCAGGTCATGTGCGTGTCCTTAGACCCGTCAGTGTTACTAGGGGGATGGAACATTGATTGGCAAGCCTTGGTCATCTGCCCAACTCCTGGGGCTAAGAGGAAGGTTAGCCACATGGAAACTTCCAGACTGAAAGTGGAGAACCCAAAGGAACAGGACTGCTCAACACTGGGAAGGCAAGGCCAGAATTTCCCAAGAAAGCTGGAAAACCTCCCGACTGAGCCACTCCCACAGTGCCCCGACTGAGGGGCTGGACGCTGCAAGCCCTGGAGAGGACCACTTCCCTGCTCTGTTTTCCCCGCTGTCTCCCAGGGGGTCCCAGTATGGCTGGATCATAATAACAACTAATGTCTATACTGCATTTATTCTGTGCCATTCCCATTCTGAGTGTTTCTACACGTATGAACTCACTCATTTGATCACTACAAGAAATACCATTGTTGGCTGGGCGCGGTGGCTCATGCCTGTAATCCCAGCACTTTGGGAGGCCGAGGCGGGCGGATCACAAGGTGAAGAGAACGAGACCATCCTGGCCAACATGGTGAAACCCCATCTCAAAATACAAAAAATTAGCTGGGTATGGTGGCGTATGCCTGTAATCCCAGCTACTCAGGAGGCTGAGACAGGAGAATCGCTTGAACCCGGGAGAGGGAGGTTGCAGTGAGCTGAGATCACACCATTGAACTCCAGCCTGGGTGACAGGTCTTGAATCCCGGCCTCTAAGTGACCACCTGCCTCGGCCTCCCAAATGCTGAGATTACGGGTGTGAGCCACCGTGCCGGGCCTGAAGATGGGTGGGTTTTTTGATCCGAATATCCCAGATCTTAACTACTTGGGCCCTTGGCAGGGCGAGTGTTTGGCATCTACCAATCGACTGGCACTGTGACCTGGACCACGTACGACACTGCAAACCCATCTACGAGTTCCATGGGCTTGTACGAGGAGAAAAATCTCTCCCCCAGGCTTCAACTTCCAGGTACCCTGCGCAGGCCCCCCAGCAGCACATCCTTCCCTTGTGTCCTGCGGGCCTTTCCACTCACCAGAACCCTGCAGGCCTGAGAAAAGTATCCCCCAGTGGGGAGCAGAGGGTCCTGGCCAGCTCCCCATTCTGCCTGGGTGCCATGCCAGGAAGGCCAGCAGGGAGCAAGATATTTGAATCCCTCAAATCCCCTGTCCCTGGTTCGTCAGATCCTCGAGCCCACCCGGCCAGTTGACTAGCCCTTGGGAAATCTCTTGCTGGAGCAATTGGGACCTTGAGCAACTGGCCTGGGCACAGCACCCACACCTGTAATCAAGGCATCTTGGTAGGCTGAAGGTGGGAAGGATTGCTTGTGACCAGGAATCCTGAGGCTGCAGTGAGTTGTGATTAATAACTGCCACCCCAGCCTCGGTGAGCAAGAATGAGAACCTCCATCTCTTACAAACAAAAAACAAAAAGGAGTTGGGGCCATGCAGTGAGTCGAGATCACGCCACTGCACTGTAGCCTGGGCGACAGAGCGACTCCATCTCAAAAAACAAACAAACAAAAAAAAGCAGCTTGAATCCTATAGCCTATGGCCCTGAGAAATCCTGTGCCCTGGGATCCTCACAGTCACCTGGGATTCCGGAGAAGCGGTCCCTACGAGCACAGAACTATCTGACTGGGTTCAAATCCCAGCTCTGCCCCAAATGAGCAGTATGAACTCAGACAAGTCTCTTCACTTCAGTGGGTCTGAGTTTTTGGACCCACCAAGCGGGGAGCAATAATGGTGCCAGTCTCGTGGAGTCATCCCGAGGGTCAAGTGAGTTGACACGGTGTGCCTGGCGTGCCTCGCTGCCTGGCACGTGGGAAGTCTATACACCTGTCAGCACGTGTTCCTTATTAGTCCTGCTCTCGCAGTTGCCTATTCAGGAACTAAATCAATCCCTTTTCTGTGATGTTACCAAAATAACCCACTCACGACACATTTGTCTGTCTACAAGGGAGGTCAGCAAACTTTTCTTTCGAGGGCCAGAGAGGAACTATTTTCAGCTTTGCCGGCTATATGGGCTCTGTGCCAACTACCCAAGTCCGCTGTGGAAGGGCAAGGGCAGCCACAGACAAGATTCGAACAATGAACCTGGCCATGATCCGGCCCATGGGCCTCAGTTTCCTGACCCCTGGAGGGGGTTCACACCAGAGCAACACACGTGCTGAATGTTAGACCTCCCTGTTCTAAAAACCTCCCTGCCATCAGGGCCGGGCGTGGTGGCTCACGCCTGTAATCTCAGCACTTTGGGAGACCGAGGCGGGCAGATCACGAGGTCAGGAGATTGAGACCATCCTGGCTAACACGGTGAAACCCCATCTCTACTTAAAATACAAAAAATTAGCCGGGCGTGATGGCGTGTGCCTTTAATCCCAGCTACTTAGGAGGCTGAGGCAGGAGAGTCGCTTGAACCAGGGAGGCAGAGGTTGCAGTGAGCTGAGATCGCACTACTACACTCCAGCCTGGGCGACAGAGCAAGACTCTGTCTCAAAAAAAGGAAGGAAGGAAGGAAGGAAGGAAGGAGGGAAGGAGGGAAGGAGGGAAGGAGGGAGGGATGGAAGGAAGGAAGGAGGGAAGGAGGAGACGAAGGAAGAAGGAGGAAGAGGAAAGGAGGAGGGAGGGAAGGAAGGAAGGAAGGAAGGAAGGAAGGAAGGAAGGAAGGAAGGAAGGAAGGAAGGAAGGAAGGAAGGAAGAAAGAAAGGAAGGTAGGTCGGTCTCCCTGCCATCTTCAGCTGGGAACTTCTCAGTACTAGGCTCCTGCCAAGTTGCCCAGCTCCCTGCCCTCTTCTCTGACCACCTTCCAGCTCTTCTGTTGCTCAGCCCATCTCCACCTGTTACTTGCCTCGCCCAGAGGAGCTTCGCTTTCTCAAATGTTTTCTTCTCAGTCCACATCTTTACAGATTCCATCTTTAATTAATGCAGTAACTGCTTGCCTCCTGCACTGTGACCTGTGCCGGGAACTCAGGAGTTGGTGATGAATGAGACAGATAGCTTCGTCCTCCTGGAGCTCAGTCTTGGAGGAGATGGGTTAATACATAATCACACTAAACAAACTCATGATTATAAAGCGAGAAATGTTCCCAAAGGAAACACATAGAGTGAAACAGAAGGGAATAACAAGGACATAGCTGGGCTACAAGAGCAGGGCGAAAATAAATAAATAATTAATAAATAAATACAAATGAAATGATCAGAGAGCTGCAGTGTGGAGGGTAATGGGAGGGAAGGGCAGTGAGGGTGGCAGGACCTCTACCCCAAAACAGCTTCTCAGTATCTTTTCTTAAATAAAAAATGTTCAGTTTTTTTTTTTTAATTGTTGTTGTTGTTGATTTTTTTGAGACAGAGTTTTGCTTTGTTGCCCAGGCTGGAGTGCAATGGCATGATCTTGGCTCATAACAACCTCTGCCTCTCGGGTTCAAGCAATTCTCCTGCCTCAGCCTTCCACGTAGATGGGATTACAGGTGCCCGACACCATGCCCAGCTAATTTTTGTATTTTTTAGTAGAGACAGGTTTCACCATGTTGGTCAGGCTGATCTCAAAATCCTGATCTCAAGTGATCTGCCCACCTCAGCCTTCCAAAGTGCTGGCATTACAGGCGCGAGCCACTGCGCCCGGCTCCAAAATGTTCTATTCTTGAAAGAGTGCTGGTACCTGCTCTGAGATGGGGGTTTTTGCTTGTTTTTGTCTTTGAGACGGAGTCTGGCTCTGTTGCCCAGGCTAGAGTGCAGTGACGCATCTTGGCTCACTGCAACCTCCGCCTCCCAGGTTCAAGTGATTGTCCTAACTCAGCCTCCCGAGTAGCTGGGATTACAGGCGTGAACCAACACACCTGGCTAATTTTTGTATTTTTAGTAGAGACAGGTTTTCACTATATGAACCAGACTGGTCTTGAATTCCCGGCCTCAGGTGATCCACCTGCCTCGGCCTCCCAAAGTGCTGAGATTACGGGTGTGAGCCACCGTGCCGGGCTGAGATGGGGGTTTTTGATCCCGAAATCCCAGATCTTAACTACTTGTGCCCTTGGCAGGGCGGAGTGGTTGGCATCACCATCGACTGGCACTGTGACCTGGACTGGCACGTACGACACTGCAAACCCATCTACGAGTTCCATGGGCTGTACGAGGAGAAAAATCTCTCCCCAGGCTTCAACTTCAGGTACCTGCCAGGCCCCCAGCAGCACATTCTTCCTTGTGGTCCTGCGGGCTTTTCCACTCCCAGAACCCTGCAGGCCTGAGAAAGTATCCCCAGTGGGGAGCAGAGGGTCCTGGGCAGCTCCCATTCTGCCTGGGTGGCCATGCAGGAAGCCAGCAGGGAGCAAGATATTGAAGTCTCAAATCCCCTGTCCCTGGGTCTCAGACCCCTCGAGGCCCACCCGGCCAGGACTAGCTGGGGAAACTGCTGACATTGGGAGCTGGAGCAACGGCTGGGCACAGCACCCACACCTGTAATCAAGGCATCTTGGGAGGCTGAGGTGGGAGGATTGCTTTGTGACCAGGAATCTGAGGCTGCAGTGAGTTGTGATAATACTACTGCACCCCAGCCTGGGTGACAGAATGAGACCCCATCTCTTACAAACAAACAAACAAAAAGGAGTTGGGGCCAGGCGCGGTGGCTCACACGTGTAATCCCAGCACGTTGGGAGGCCAAGACGGGCAGATCATGAGGTCAAGAGATCGAGACCATCCTGGCCAATATGGTGAAACCCCGTCTCTACTAAAAGTACAAAAATTAGCCAGGCATGGTGGCGCATGTCTGTAATCCCAGCTACTCAGGAGGCTGAGGCAGGAGAATCGCTTGAACCCGGGAGGCAGAGGTTGCAGTGAGCCGAGATCTTGCCACTGCACTCCATTCAGCCTGGTGACAGCGCGAGACTCCGTCTCACAATAAATAAATAAATAAATATAAAAAAGGAGTTGGGGCAAGACTTGAGTACAGCTTTCCTAGAATGAGGCCTGGGATCCTACCCGGGTTTGGGGATGGGGCTGTATTCAGAGACCACTAAAGCTCCTGCATCCCTGATGCGCTAAGGACCCCAGACCTGCATCACCCTCCTGCCGCCTGATCCCTTCCCCAAGGTTTGCCAGGCACTTTGTGGAGAACGGGACCAACTACCGTCACCTCTTCAAGGTGTTTGGGATTCGCTTTGACATCCTGGTGGACGGCAAGGTGAGTGTCCAGCGTGAGGGTGGTGGCAGCTGAGACGCATTCTCACAGACACACTGTGAGTACCTCTGGGCGTCTACAGTTATAGACGACCGGAGATTGGGTGGGTTCACTCAGCAGTTTTACTTATAATAACAGATGGGGCGTGGGGCATGTCCAGGGCAGGGCTTTGCAACCTGTGGCCATGCCTCCCCCACAGTCTCCCTGGGCCCAGGGAGGCAGAGCCAAGGTCAAAACCCAAGTCTACTGACCCGCAGCTGGTGGCCCATGTAGAGGCAGAGGGGGCACAGTTCACAGCCGAGGGTGGGAAGTCCCCTTGTCCCAGGTCCGGCCTTTTCCAGCTGGGCCCCTTCTGACGGTTAACCCTTCTCTCCCTGGGTCCTGCCACCAGGCTGGGAAGTTTGACATCATCCCCACGATGACCACCATCGGCTCTGGAATTGGCATCTTCGGGGTGGTAAGCGCTGGGGTCACCGGGTCACCATGCTGGGGTCGGCCCCCCCTCTTCCACAACTCAGTAGCAGCAGCACGTGCCTCACCCTGAAACTTGACCCTACCCGTCTCTCCTGTTTGAGCCAGCGGCTGCCCACCCCACCACCCACAGTAGATCTGAAAAAACCAAGGCCCAGAGCTGGGGCAGGACAGAGTTGGGTGGAACCATCTTGGTCCCCTGAGGGTCCTGCAGGGCCTCATCCACCCTCCAGGAAACTGGCCTCCAGTGAGGTCGGATCCAGCCGGGGCCACACCGCCAGGGACTGAGGTGGGATGTGGAGGGCCCTGTACCCGCCCCGGATTCCCACGCTGTCTCCATGCCCTGCCCTGACCCCAGGCCACAGTTCTCTGTGACCTGCTGCTGCTCCACATCCTGCCCAAGAGACACTACTACAAGCAGAAGAAGTTCAAGTACGCTGAGGACATGGGGCCAGGGGCGGTAAGAGAAGCCCCTGCACCAGGCCCTCCGAAGGCCTCCGGCGCGTGTGTCTGTGTTGGGGTGGGGGGTGTGGGCAGCTGCTTCCCCAGCGCTGACTTGTATCCCGCAACCCTTGCCCCACACACACAGGATGAGCGTGACCTCGCAGCCACCGGCTCCACCCTGGGCCTGCAGGAGAACATGAGGACATCCTGATGGTCGGCCCGGGACTCCTGACTGGATGCAGCGTGAGGCTCCAGCCTGGGGCCCTGGTGGGTCCCAGCCAGGGCAGAGGGGCCTCCCCAGGAAGTCTCCTACCCTCTCAGCCAGGCAGATAGCAGTTTGCCAGAAGCTCAGGGTGCATACTAGGAGAGACCTGTGCAAATCTGAGCTCTGGCTCCAACTCCACACCCCCCAGTGGAGCCCTACCCCAGCCTCAGCCGCTCCTGGTGTGGAAGGGCTGGGACTGGGCAGGGCCCTCCCACACACCTGTACCCTAACTTTGTGCTTCTCTTTCTGGACCCTCATTATCCAACCCGCTGCCTCCATTTCTCTAGATCTGGGCTCTCCAATGTGGCAGTCAGTAACCATAGGTGACTAAATTAAACTAAAATAAAATCAAATGAAACCCAAAATTCAGTTCCTCAGTTGAACTAGCCACATTTCAACTGCTCAGTAGACACACGTGGCTAGTGGCTGCCATACTGGACAGCTCGGGGCATTTTCACCATCGAAGAAAGTTCTATTAGACAGCCCTGCTTGAGCCCTGTTTCTTCCTGGCCTTGGGGTTCCCTGGGGAATCACTGACAATGCAAGCTCCTGGGCCCACCGCAGACCTCCTGAACCAAAGGCTCCAGGGCTGGCCATATGATCCGCGTGGATGGCAAACTCCCTAGGCCATTCTGGGACTGAAGTTTAAGAAGTGCTGTCCTGGAACTTTCTGACTCTAAGCTCCTGAGCGGGAGTCAGACTCAGCCCTGAGCCTGCACTGCCTGGCGGGCGCAGACACTGAACAGGGTCTCAAACACCTTCAGCGTGTGTGTTGTGTGCTCACGTGCCACACGGTGTCTCCTGCACACAACCCAGTGTACACACCACCCACGTGCACACAGCATCCTTCCACACTGTATGTGAACAGCTTGGGCCCTGCCAACACAACCATCTACACACACCTACACCCCCAAGCACACATACATGGTCTGTGCCATGTCACCTCCATAGGGAAAGGCTTCTCTCCAAGCGTGCCAGGCCAGGACAGCCCTCCTAGCCATGAATCCTTACTCAGCTACCTCGGGTTGGGGTGGGAGCCCCAGCCAAATCCTGGGCTCCCTGCCTGTGGCTCGGCCCCAGCTCCCAAGACCTGCCTGGCTATGTCTGAACAGAAGGTCTGGGAGAAGCGAGGGGCGGAGCACAATAAAGGAAATGAGGACAAACCTCTGCTGTCCATGCTTGTTTTCCAGACCTCTCTGAAACACAGTGTGCTCGTCTGTGAAATGTGGGACTGAGCTGGGCAATCTCTGAGATCCCTCTTGATCGGCTGGTGGGGACCAGTGAGCCGACTCATACACCCTGAGCCCAGCAGGGTCAGCGCTGGGTGGAGAGGTCAGCTCACCTCTGTCCATGGGCTGCCATCTTGGCACAGCCCTGAACATTGGCACTCTTCCCAACCCTCCACGGCTGTGAGAGGCCTGGCAGTGGGACAAGTAGAGAACCCCAGGGTGGCCTCGTGAAACAGTGGGGAGGAAGGGGCTGGCTGTGCCAGGAGGCAGATCTGGGGGAATCCCAAAGAGGGGAGAAGGGTCTTGACCGAGACTGTGTGGAGGGCCCTGCTGTGGGCATGACTTCAGGCCCGGACTTATAGCCAGGTAGGATCTCTGGGCAGCATTCCCCACCCCGTCACCATGCTCCGTCTAGACCAGTGCCGTCCAGTAGAACACTCTGGAATGATGGAAACATTCTTTATGCTGTCCAATAGGGTACCCAAAAGCCACAGGTGGCCTGGGTGGAAATATGCAGCCAAGGAAATAAAATTTGTATTTTATTTACCTTTAATTAATTTTTTTTTTTTTTTTTTTTGAGATGGAATTTTGCTCTGTCGCCCAGGCTGGAGTGCAGTGGCACCATCTCGGCTCACTGCAGGCTCCACCCCCTGAGTTCAAGCAATTCTCTCCCTCAGCCTCCCAAGTAGCTGGGATTACAGGTGCCCAACACCACGCCTGGCTAATTTTTTTTTTTTGTATTTTTAGTAGAGATGGGGTTTCACCATGTTGGTTGGCCAGGCTGGTCTCAAACTCCTGACCTCAGGTGATCCGCCTGCCTCGGCCTCCCAAAGTGCTGGGATTAGAGGTGGGAGCCACCATGACTGCCTAATTTACTTTTAATTAATTTAAATAGTTACATGTGACTAGTGGCTACTGGACTGGACAACACAGGCCAGCCCCTGCCATCTCCCTCAGGGCCTTGGCCTTCTCTCTTCCCCAACCAAGATCCATCACTTAGATTTTGTAAGACTGGAGCTTCCTCTTCCGCACCCCCTTCTTTCTCCAGACACACCTGCTTTTGCACTTCCTACCCCCTTCCCTTCCGAGTGAGCAGAAAAGAGCCCCTCCTCTGTATTCAGCCTCACCACCCAGCCCAGAGGCTGACCAGCAGAAGCCACCTCCGTTCTCACACCCCTATATCTGTTCCCCTCTTCTGCCTCCTCCTGGCCCACTCTCCCCTCACTGCAACCTTTCCAGAAAGACCAGTCCACACTTTCCTCTGCAGTTGGCCTCCACCCCAACCACTTCTCCTAGGTGCCCTTGCCAAGGTCACTGGCAGTGTCCTGGTTGCCAAGTCTAAGCAGACACTTGGGCCCCATATCCTGCTTGGCCTAACAAAATCTGACATCGTTGTCCAAGCCCTCCTTGTCGAAAGATTTCCTTCCAGTAGCTCCTAGAACACACCCTTTCCTGACTTTCCAGCCTGTCTGGTGTGCAAGGAAAAGACAAGTTTCTATTGCAGCTCTGCCACAGCTCACTGTGTGCCCTTGGGGGAAGCGGCTTAACTCTCCAAGCCTCCTCTGTGAGTTAAGGATAATAACAGCATTTTTTTTTTTTTTTTAATAGAGACAGAGTTTCACTATGTGGTCCAGGCTGGTCTCGAACTCCTGGGCTCAAATGAGACGCCCACCTCAGCCTTCCAAAGTGCTGGGATTACAGGCATGAGCCACTGCACCTGGACAATAATAGTTTTTAGTAGGGTTGAGGAAAGACCTGTAAAGAGCGCCTGGCATACAGTCGAGCTCTGCCCCTCAATCTTTCCGCCCTCTCAATGGTGGAGTCCGGATATCTGTTCTCCCTGTAGCAATTCAGTCCGTGGTTCTCGGTTGGGCGTGTGGCTGCCCAGAATGGAAGCTGCATTTCCCAGCTTCCTCTTGCAGTTGGGTCTGGTCACATGAGTAAGCTCGAGTGGTGTATGTGAAAGTGCCATGTGGCAACTTCTGAGAACTTTCCTGAAAAGAGAGCTGGTGCAGACCCCTGCCCTCTTCTTCATCCTTTTCTCCACTCCACTGCCCGGAATGCGTATGTGATTGCTGGAGCTCTAGCTGCTATCCTGAACCATGAGGTCAAAAGCCACACCCAGAAGTTGCTGGAATTATTCATTCAACAAACATCCATTGAGCACCTATGCCATGTGACAGGCTGTGTGCTGGACGAATCAGGCACAGTGCTTGCCATCGAGGAGCTCCCAGTCCCGATGAGGAACAGGCAGGTACCAGATGCCAAGGAAGTACCTGGGTGGGGCGGCTAACCCATGCTGGGAAGTGGGGAGGTCATGGAGAAGGTTTCCGGGCAGAAGCAAGATTGAATTGAGCCCTGAAAGATGAGTAGGCATTAAACAGGCAGGTGGCTGGGAGTAAGGTTCTACAGGGCTTGATCAGACCTATTCTCAGGGTGAGCCACAGGAAATGCCTCTCGGTGGACTCGTGTTCCTGAAAACTTGCTCTGGCTGCCAGGTAGGGAAAGGCTAGTAGGAGGTGGGACTGGATAAGGCTGGAAGCCAGGGAGGAGGAGGCTTCTGCAGCAATCAGGGACAAGATGGTGGTAGCCTGAGCTAAGGGAGGGGAAGTGGGGTGGACAGGAGAGGGCCGATTCCAGGTATAGTTAAGAGGCAGCAAGGCAGGGCCTGGAGATGAACTGGTTGGAGCAGGAAACAGGGAGGCTGCAGGTGACTCCCAGGCTCCTGGCTCCACTTCGAGACAGGGACACAGGAGATCAGGTTTGGGGGAAGGATATGGGGCAAGTGGTAGTGCCAGAAGATTCACACGCAGAGGCATTAAGGGAAGAGGTGGGGGCAGAGTCCCTAGGAACAGCCACGGCGAAGGTCACCATGTCCTGCTGAGTTCCCTCCATTCCCTCGGCCCCCGCTAGGCCATTCCTGTCGCCTGCTCACCGAGCAAGCACTTCACTCTATGCTAAGCCACCTCTCGGCCTCCCTGCCCCCGCCCTGCAGAAGCTACACTCCTGGGCCTGCCGTTCAAGGCCTTCCTCCCCGGGCCTCGCCCCTCCCTCGCACGCACCGCGCCTCGCCCGGGAGGGAGGGGCGCTCTGGCTCCCGCAGACCGGGATGGGGGTGCAAAGGGTTTGGCGGGGAAGCACCGTCCCCTGCAGGCCCGGGTGAAGGGCCCGCGCCGCGGCCCGGAGGGACTTCGAGGACCCCAGGACACCGGGGGCGTGGCGAGATCGGTCCCGCCGCAGGGTAGGGAGGGCCCCTCCGGCGTCGCCCGCCGCGGACCCTTAGTCCAGGAGGGGGCGGGAGTCCCGGGCTCCGATTGGGCGGCGCTGGCGGGGCCGTTCGCCTCGACCAATGAGCGCGAGCCGGGCGCGGCGGTGGGCGGGGCAGCGAGCGCTGCCCGGAGCCGCGGCGCCCGCGGGCTGAGCTCGGCGATCTGGGCCCCAGCTAGGCGGTGGGGCGGGGCGGGGAGCGAGCGGGGCCGCCCGCCGGGCCGCGGAGACTGTCGCCCGGCGCCCAGGTAGGGATCAGCGGGGAGGGGACGCGGGCTTGGAGCGGGAGGACGAACGCCTTAACACCTGCCCCGAGCCTGCAAGAGAGAGGCGGAGGGTCTGCGAGGCCGCGTCTACGAGGGAGTCGGGATCTGGTCAGGGCGGGGATCCTTCCCCTTCTGTCTGCGGGGCCGGGTCTGCGGGGTGCCTCGGGGAGTCTGCTCGGGTCTGCGCCGGCCGCCGGGACCGCATCGCCGCGGGCGCCCCGCCGTCTGCGTTCTTCCCCGCTTCTGTCTGCGGACCGCATCCATCCCGGGTGCACCGTCCCCCGCGCCCGGCTCCTGGTGGAGGCCGCGTCTGTGCTGAGTGGGCCCGGCCCGGGGCACCCACGTGCGGTTCTCCGCGGAGCGCTCCTCCCACGGCCCTCCGGAGCGTCTTCCTGCAGGAGCCGGGGGCGGGGTGGGAGATGAATGGGGCGGCGGCGGCGCGCGGTTCTGGCTGCGCTGGGTCCTGCCTTGGCTGGGGCGAGAGGGGGCGGCAGAGGCGGGCGCCGCAGCTTCGAGGCCCGGGAGGCGCAGGGCTGGTGGCTGGGGGGGGGGTGTCCACGTGCGCGGGGACCTGCGTGTGCTGTTTGGAGGCGGGTGTGCGTGTGTCACGTGGACGCGGGAGTGTGCCTGTGTCTGCGTGGGGGGTGCAGGACAGGATGGAGTGGTGTGTGAGGGCGGGTCACGCGGACACGGGCGTGTGCCTGTCAGGGGAGGGGGTGTGCTCAAGTCTTGAGGGCGTTGCAGGGCTGTGCAGAGAAGGCTGTGTCACAGGCCCCAGGACCGTGCCTTGGTGGTGTCTGCAGGGCGGGCACAGGAGTGTGGGAGGGGCACACAGCTTGTGCACTGGAGGATCCCAGGGAAGTGGCACTGGCCGCCCCAAGCCCTGCCCTCTTTCCTCCAGTACATACAAATTAACCCTCCACTGTGTCCCAGGCGCACACACTCTGGGGACCCTTCGCCTCCTCCTAGGTCTCCCACCGTCAGTCCTCACAGCAGCCACGGGAGTCGTTTTAAACCTCACCTAACTGAGGCACTCCCCTGCTCACAACCTCCACCTGCCTTTGGGGGCCTCCTGGGCTCTGTCCACCAAGCTACCCTCACCCCCAAACCAAGCCCTGAGTCTCAGCCGGGAAATGACTCTGCTACGCATAGTATGAAGTTCCATCCTCTCCTGGTCAGTCCTGAAATCCTGCTGAGTGCTCAGAAGAGAGCTCAGGTGCCACCTCCTCCAGGAAGCCATCCCTGAGGCCAGCACAGTGAATGAGGGGCCTTTCTCTCCAGACGTAACTCCTCTTGCTGTCAGGTGCCGCTTACGTGGGGAAGACTCCACACCAGCCACTCAGCCTCCCTGCTGTTCTTACGGATCAAGCACTGTCCCCCCATGGCGTTTGCACCTGCTGGTCCCTGCGTCTGAGATGCCCTTCCCCAGATAGCTATACCGCCTCCTCCCCTTCCTTCCTTCAGGTGTCTGCTCCAATCCTGCACCCAAAAGGCCTTCCTGAACCACACTGTTAGCAGCAGCATCTCCCAGCCCCTTTCTCTCGATCCTTCTTACTCTGCTGTATTTTTCTTCACAGTATGTACCACTTGACATATCGTATCTGAATCACTGGCTTTCTTGGTCATTGCTCCTTGCCCCCACGAGAAATTAAACGATATGAGAGCAGAGACTTGGTCTTTTTGGTTCACTGCTGTGTCTCCCCACACAGGCTTGCACAGAGCCTGGCAGGCCGTAGGTGCTCTGTGACTATTTATGCTTGCATCCCAGATGTCCATGTCCCTGGCGGCTTCCTAGCCTGTGACCCCCCCCCTTTACCCCCAATCTGAGGCCGCTTCTGCTCCTCTGTCCCTGACATTCCAAGTTCCTGGAAGGCCAGGTCTGGGAGAACTGTAACCACATTTGCATGTTGGAAATCCTCCCTCTAGCGACTGGTGTGGAGGATGGGGTAGGGTGAGGTGGAGGTGTGAGCCTGGAGTCAGGGAGGACCCATGTGGCGGGGAACGAAGCAGGAGTCGGAATCTGGACTTCTAAGGGGTTCGGCTTGTGAGCTCACCCAGCGGGTAGTGGGGAGATCAGGGAGAGCTCTCAGAAGAGGCAATGGCTGAGCTGTCCTCCAGGCCGCAGAGGAGAGGAAGGTGTGTTCCTGGCAGAAGCACAGCTTGTACAGAGGCCTGGCAGCAGGACAGAGTCTGCAGTTTGGGAAGCTGTGGTGTGGCTGGAGTGGAGAGTAAGTGTGGGGTTGTGGGGAGTGAGGATGGGCAACAGGGAAAGGACGAGTGACAAGGACGGCTCCTGGGTTGCTGGCCTGGGTCAGAAAAGAATGGGGAGGATGTGGTACCCATCTTGCAATGGAGACGGAGGATGAGCAGGTTTGGGGAAGATGCTGAGTTGAATCTGGGCCCTGTTGGATCTGAGCTGCTCGGGAACATGGAGGGGCAGGCGGCAGCTAGCTGGAAAGAGTGGGGCTGGAGGCACAGACCTGGTGTGGAGGATGAGCAGGGGCACAGGATGAGGCCTGAGGACCATCAGCCTCTGTGGGTGGGCCAGGACGATGCACTGGGGGTAACTGTGCTGAGTCAGGCAAGAGCCCGCATCAGTGCTTGGGGGCTCCCCAAGGATGGTGGGAGCGGGCGTCCTCACAGCAGGAGTCGTTAAGCATGACTTGGCACCAGACGCCTGGGCCTCCCTCAAGGGGACTGAGTCATCCTGGGTGGGGGCGGGAGCTGCGGAGGGCACCCGTTGCCAGAGCCATCCAGACACTCGTCAGGATCATAAACACGGCTCCAGTGAGGCGGCCCAGGGATGTGAGGACCACCTTCTGTGTCTGGCCTGGGGGGCCGCCACCTCTGCGGCTTTCCCTTCTGTTCGGTCCTCTGCTGGTAAGGGCTGTCCATCCCCTTGCCTGGACATAACTGGTCCCCTGCCTCGGCCTGGCACTGGGGTTCACAGCGGCCTTCCAGAGCTCAGAATGAGGCCTGACCAGGGCCTGAAGTCCTCCCAGGCGGAGCTGCTCGAACCCACGTGGATGGCAGCAGGGTCTGCCTGCTCTGCCCTGCTCTGGGACTCCTTTGAGGGATGCAGCTGGATGGGGCATGTCCTGAGGAGGAAGCCAGGCCAAGCGGGCGTCTGGAGCCAGGGACCCACATTCCTTGGGAGTGGCCAGACACTTGGGGGGTGGGGCACAGCCTGGGAGAAGAAACCTGGGTGGTGGGTATGTGCCAGGCCATCTTGGAGCCGGGGGCAGAGGTGGGGTTGGACCTTGTACATCAAGGCTCTCTTGGATGCTTCTAGACACAGCCACATCCCCACCCAACAGGGCTCTGGCGCAAACTACTCCTGTGTCCACACCTCATTCTGTTCGTCCCATCGCCCTGGGAGTTGGCAGGACGGTGGCCCTCTGTTTGATTCACATGTTAGGAAACTGAGGCTCCAAGAGGCTCAATGACTTGTCCGAGGCAGCAGGTCCCCAGTCTGGGAGGACGGGATTGAAGTCGTTTTTCCCAAAGAGGGAGGGCTTGAGTCTGGCCATTCTTGGCCACAGGACTAAGCCAGTGCCCAGGCCCGTAGGGATCCTTGCTGTACCATGGGCCTGGGTCCCAGCCTCTCTGTCCATCTTTCTGTTTGCCCACATGGCCCTAATTATCCACCGAATTAACTTTCTACAAAGTATCTACTGAGGCCTGAGCTTGGGAAGGGCCTTGAGACACCCCCTGCGTGAGCCCCCAGATGGGCTTGGGTTTCTGCCTGGGGCACAGAACCCAGCCCAGCAGGCAGTGCCAGGCTGGTAGGCCTAGTGACTACAGGGGAAAGTCCAGATATGCGCTCTAGGATCAGGCTCCCAGGACCCCCAGGGGTGCAGGTCACCCCCCTACCCTGGGCATATGTACACAGAGACCTGCAGGCACACACGCACATAAGCACACCTGCACACACACACATCACACCGAGGTTTCCATCTCCATGCAGATGCGCTCCTGTGTGGGGACCACAACACACACAGACACACACCGCCACCCCAGGCCCACAGCCCGTGTGCACATATTCCCTCCTGTGCAGACGCGCGGCCGGGGCGCCAGGCCCTGTCTCCCGGACACGCGGCAAGAACCTTGGGCCTTCCCCGGCGGCCGCCTCCCTCGCAGACACGCTTAGTCACCTGAATTTGATCCAGGCGGGAGGGAGGGACGGAGAGCCTGACGTCAGCCCTCGCAGCCGCCTTCCGCCCGCCCGCGCATCCATCTGGGCCACAGCGTGTCCCAGCAATCACAACAGCAACAGCACCACAACAACTCACTTTTACGGTGCCTCCTTTGTGGCCGGCCCTGTTCTGAGTGCCTTACGCGCACTCCCTCCTCAGCATCTCAGCACGTGCGTGAGGTGAGACCCACTAGAACCCCATTTTGCGGGTGAGGAAAACCCAAGACACAGAGGCGAGGCCACCTGCTCACGGGCTCCCCGCCAGGAAAGGGTGCTGCCTGGCTGCCTGGCTTCAGAGCCTGGGCGCCAAACCGGGTAACAGGGCTCAGGCTGGAACAGGAAGCCCTTCTGCCCTGACTTGCTGGGTGACTCCGGGCCCATCCCCACCCGCTGGGCCTCCCTCTACCCATCTAAGAAAAGCAGGGAAAGGTGTTCAAGGGTAAAGGAGGATGGCCTTTTGCTGGAATGGCAACCTTTAGGAAATATGCAAATTTTATGGGCCCGGGCAGCCTATGGCTTCTGCCCTGCCTAGGGCCAAAGAGCGGGAGCTCCCAGCCCTGGAGTTCATTCTCTTATGTGTGCTGGGGCCTGAGGCTTGATGGGGTTGCGTCTCTGCGGCTGCTTTCTCATCTGTCTAATGGGGACAGGGCTGTAACGATCACTATGGCAACCACTCATTTATTCAACAAATATTTATCGCGTTCCTATCACACGCCAGGCGCTGGTGATCTTCTGGAGACAAGGCAGATGAGAGCCCTAATCTCATGAAACTTACATTCGGGAGGGAAAAACATGGCTTGTGGAGTGAGGGGACGGGGCAGAGGGGTGGGCCACCTGCTGGGAGGAGCCTGGCGGGGCCTGGAGGGTGTTCCCAGCTTTGGCTTCCTCCTCGCTATGCCGTCTGGTTTCCAAGCTCTCCCCGAAGCTCCAGCCCCACTCACTGTCCCTCTCACCTCCTCCAGGGAGACCTCCTTATGCCACAGCCTCTCACCTTCTCCAGGGAGGCCTCCCTATGCCACAGCCTCTCACCTCCTCCAGGGAGGCCTCCCTATGCCACAGCCTCTCACCTCCTCCAGGGAGGCCTCCCTATGCCACAGCCTCTCATGTCCTCCCGGGAGACCTCCCTATGCCACAGCCTCTCACCTCCTCCAGGGAGGCCTCCTTATGTCTCAGCCCCATTCAGTGTCCCTCTCACCTCCTCCAGGGAGGCCTCCTTATGCCACAGCCCCACTCACTGTCTCTTCTCACCTCCTCCAGGGAGGCCTCCTTATGCCACAGCCCCACCCACTGTCTCTTCTCACCTCCTCCAGGGAGGCCTCCTTGTGTCACAGCCACACTCACTGTCTCCCGCCCCCTCTTCCAGGAAGTCCTCCCTGATACTCTACCCTCACTCAGCCTCCTCACCTCCTTCACCTCCTCCAGGGAGACCTCCTTGATACTCCAGCCTCACCAACTCCCTCTCACTCCTCTGGGTTCCAGCTTCCGTGCCTTTTCCTGTTCCCAGTGTGGAGCCTTCTCTCTTCCTTTCTCCACGTCAGCACCAGCCCCCACCACCTCCAGGCTTCCACTCATTCAACACACTGCGTACCAGGCACAGGGGGTCTGGACCTCACCCTTACCCTCGGTCTACCTCCAAACCCTGCTGTGAGCCTGGGAAATCTGGGAAGGCAGGGGATCCACAGGACAAGTCGGGAGACTGGGGCTCAGAATTGGGAAGGAGCTTGTCTAGGGCCCCTGGTAGGTCAGCAGGCAGGACTGGAACCCAGCCCTGGCTCCTCAGCGGCCAGTGGACTCCAGCCAGCCCTGCCTCGATGACATCTGTCAAAGCAAAGGGATGGGGAATGAGGGGTGGAGCAGGCCCTTCACCATGCACACTCTGGGTCTGCCTGAGATCCCTGTTCTCAGTCACTGTGTGGGTACGGAGGAAGTTACCAGCAGACAGGAAGGATGGAGGATCAGGAGTTCACTCACTTCCTTCTCCTGAGAGGATGCAGAGTCTAGCGCAAGCAGGGGGAGGGGCACCAGGTTGGGCATGGCCAGCGCTCTACAAGCCTGGAACAGAGATGGAGGTCTCAGGCGGAGTGTCAGGGTTCAGTCCGGAGTCAGGATGTAGCTCAGGGTCATGGCTGAAGATGAGGGCTGGGGGTCACCTCCCTGATGTTGCAGCCACCACACAGTGACTTTGAGAACATGGTCTCAGGGGATGTCATGCCCTGTTTCACCCTCATTCCCCTCGTTCCAATCCCCTTGCCTTCTTTTTTTTGAGACGGAGTCTTGCTCTGTTGCCTAGGCTGGAGTGCAGTGGTGCAATCTCAGCTCACTGCAACCTCCACCTGCTGGATTCAAGTGATTCTCCTGCCTCAGCCTCCCAAGTAGATGGGATTACAGGTGCATGCCACCACGCCCGGCTAATTTTTGTATTTTTAGTAGAGACAGGGTTTTGCCATGTTGGCCAGGCTGGTCTCGAACTCCTGACCTCAGGTGATCCGCCCACCTCGGCCTCCCAAAGTGCTGGGATTACAGGCGTGAGCCACCGCACGGGGCCCATCCCCTTGCTTTGCCAGATGTCAATGAGGCAGGGCTGGCTGGAGTTGGGAACCCCAGGGAAGTCTTCCTGGAAGCAGTGAGAGGGATGGGGGCAGGAGGCTGAAACATCAAGGAGGGCTCCCTGGAGGAGGCGGGTGGGTCTGAAGCATCAGCAAGGCTTCTGAGTTACTAGTGTCTAGCTCAGCTTCCAGGAGGCAGTGTTGGAGTGCTCGGCTGTCAAGGGTTGGGACTCATGACTCACAGGGCTGCATGCTGTTCTGGGGCTGAGCTGACCCTGGGTTCTGCCCCTTCCAGTGCTGCTGGGCCTCCAGGCTTCTGCCCCTGTCTGTCCTGACTCCAGAGTATCAGATTCTCTCTGCTTCCCTGTGAAGCCGGCAGGCAGAAGTGACTGCCTCTGTTACCAGCAGGGATACTGAGGCCTAGGGGGCTGGCATTCAGCAGAAGCAATGTGAATTCATTCAGTTCATAGGGACAGACTTGAGGCTGGGTGTTGGCAATCCCGGTAGAGGGAACAGCCAGGGCAAAGGCGTGGAGGTGGGACCCACAGGGCTGTGGCTACCTTACCCGGTAGCCAGCCTGACACACAGGAGTGAAGCTTTCTCTGCCCTCCTTTCTCAGCTTCCCAACAAGGCTACACAGAAGACCCCCCTTGACTGAAGCAATGGAGGGGGGTCCAGCTGTCTGCTGCCAGGATCCTCGGGCAGAGCTGGTGGAACGGGTGGCAGCCATCGACGTGACCCACTTGGAAGAGGCAGATGGTGGCCCAGAGCCTACTAGAAACGGTGTGGACCCTCCGCCACGGGCCAGAGCTGCCTCTGTGATCCCCGGCAGTACTTCGAGACTGCTCCCAGCCCGGCCTAGCCTCTCAGCCAGGAAGCTTTCCCTACAGGAGCGGCCGGCAGGAAGTTATCTGGAGGCGCAGGCTGGGCCTTATGCCACGGGGCCTGCCAGCCACATCTCCCCCCGGGCCTGGCGGAGGCCCACCATCGAGTCCCACCACGTGGCCATCTCAGATGCAGAGGTTGGTGGGGCAGCACGAGGGGTTGTTCATGAGCCCCTCAGTGGACTGCAGTGAAGACTCTTTCTGCCCCTGTCTGTGCCACACAGCTATCTAGCTTTGGTTTGCATACCCTCAGAGCTGGGGAGATCACTACCTAACAGTATAGCCTCTTCCCAACCAGGGGAGCTGCAGCTGAGCCAAAGGCTGCGTTCTCTAAGTCTTGCTATTCCCACTCCCAGCCTAGGCCTGGGAAATAGGTCTCGCCCTGGTCCCCTGTGTAGTCTTCTTAGAGATGTGAGGATAGAGGCTATGTTCCCCCTACCCCCCAACTCTTCCCCAGCTTGCATCCCTCGCCTCTAATTCTGCCTCCTAGAGCCTGCTCTGCCTCGGAAACGGCCAGCCTGGCTCCAGCCTCTGGGCTTCAGCTGGCGTTCCTGCCACTTAGTTCTGCAGGTGCACTCAGGTTCTGAGCAGTCTACGGATGTCAGGGGCTGAGCTCTCTGTGCCTGAACCCAGGCTCTCAGCCTCTGTGCCCAGGGCTCCTCATCTTGTCCTTGGAGTCTAGACCTTCTCATTCAGCTGCTTCTGGAAATAGTTGCTCATGGGTTTCTTGTGCATTGGGGTCTCCCAGACTCCAGAATCCAGACAGGAATTAGCGTTTTCCCTTCACCACTGCATCTGGGGAACACAGCACAGCCGTGGCGTCACCATCCATGTTTTCAAACATGAGCCACATCTTCTCATCACATACGGGGGCGATGGCACCACCAGCTTCCCCATCCAAACTCAAACGCTTGGTGAGACCTGGGGGTCCGGGAATGAGGGGCCTGTGGCCTGAATTGGACCCTGAACGGGCTCTGAGGTAGGAGCAGTGCTGCCTCCGGACCCAGCTCAACCTGGTGCTCACTCTTCCCCCACAGGACTGCGTGCAGCTCAACCAGTACAAGCTGCAGAGTGAGATTGGCAAGGTAGGAGTGGGCAGGCTGAGAGCAGTGGGGGCTTCGGGATCCTCTGCTTGGCGCTGTTCCTTCTCCTGTGTGGGAGGGAACGGGAGGCAGAGCCAGGCAAGTCCTAGCCTGGAGGTGAGGACAGTTTCAGGCCCTGTGGGAAGTTCCCAGGTACCCGGGAAGGGTGGAAGATGACTCTTGACTCCTGACTCCCAGAGTTCTTGACAGTTGACAAGGAGGGACTGAGGGAGGCATGGAGCCGTGCTGAGCCAAGCAGGGGCAGTTACCAGGGCACAGGAGTCCCCTCCCCGTCTGCTACAATATTTGCCCATGAGCCAGCTGGTGGTGGGAGGTGCAGATGGGGTGCAGGAGAGACCAGAGCTGCTCGGGCTCCCCACCTCCTGAGCTGGTCCTGGGAGGGGTTGCCCTGTCCGGGTGGGGCTGACCGATGCCTGTCTGCAGGGTGCCTACGGCGTGGTGAGGCTGGCCTACAACGAGAGTGAAGACAGACACTATGTGAGTCTGGGGATAGGAGGGAGATGTTGCCCACGCCGGGCCCTGGAAGCCTGGGAGGTGGGGCAGGAGTTGTGCTCAGGAGATAGAGGACAGGGTTGCCTGAGAGTGAGCTCCCTGTCCCTGGGGGTATGCAAAGGAATGAGCTTCCTAACCCTGGGGATATGCAAGCAGATGCTGGATTCCTCTGTGGGGAGAGCTCCAGAAAGGCTTGCTGGGGGAATAAGGGGAAGGGCTAGGCTCAGATGTGGCCACCCCCTAACCCCGCTTAACACGTACCTGGGCCACACCCTCAGGGCCAGTAGCAGATGTCCAGTGTGCCTCTCCAGACCTCAGTCCACACGTACCAGCCTGTTCTAGCTCCCGGTGGCTTCACGTTAGTGACATTTCTGTCCCTCCTTCCTTAGGCAATGAAAGTGCTTTCCAAAAAGAAGTTACTGAAGCAGTATGGCTTTCCACGTATGTATCTTCTGCTCCTGTCCCTGGGAGCCCCTAGCCTGGGAGGCGGAAGAGACCTCGGTCCCGAGCTGGTTTTGGCTAAGAATGGGGTAGAGAGGGAGACGGCGTGAGCAGAGGCCTGGGGATGGAATGTGCCTGGTGGGTTGGGACAAGACCACGGGCGTGCAAGACTCTTGCTTGAGACTGGTTTGGGGGCCACGGTGAGGCCCAGCCACCTGGAACAGGTGCTTGAATTCTCTTCCTGGTTACAGGTCGCCCTCCCCCAAGAGGGTCCCAGGCTGCCCAGGGAGGACCAGCCAAGCAGCTGCTGCCCCTGGAGCGGGTGTACCAGGAGATTGCCATTCTGAAGAAGCTGGACCACGTGAATGTGGTCAAACTGATTGAGGTAGGGGGAGGTGGTGGTGAGCAGGTGGGAACCGGCACCTGAGTCTCACGGGAGCCGCTTCTCTGGTGCTGGGGAGCCCCTAGCACAGACCCGGGGATCTTGCCAAGGGAGCAGATGTGGCTGAGGCCTCTGATGACAGGGCCAGACTTGGGGTGGGGCTGCAGGGAGGCTTTGGAAGCCCAGCCTGGTCAGGGATGTTTCCAAGTTCCCACGGAGGGTGAGGGGCTGCCCCAGAGGCAAGAAGTGAGCCCCTCATTGCAGCAGGAGGGGAGGAAGGCTGGATGTCATGTGGCGGGCCAGGCTGGGGGTCAGTGACTTCTGAGGCCCCATCAGTCTGGCACCTGTGCACTTCCTGCTGCATTGTCTGGGGTGGTTGCAGTGCATGCTAAGGGTTCTGGGGCTGGCAAGGACCAGGAGGCCTGGGACCCCCAACCCCATGTCTGCTCCCTCTGACCAGGTCCTGGATGACCCAGCTGAGGACAATCTCTATTTGGGTGAGTGACCTGGCTCATTCCCACAGCAGCTCACCCAGGGCTGGCCCAAGGGGTCCCTTGGGACACGTATGACCTTCAGGTGGGCAGTGTAAATACACTGACCTCCTGGGGACAGAAGAAAAACACACGTTCTGAAGCCCTGGATTCCCTTGCCCAGCCCTGCAGAACCAGGCCCAGAATATCCAGTTAGATTCAGCAAATATTCCCAAGCCCCACTCCCTGCTTCCCTCTGAGAGCAAGACAGTGGATCCATTTGGGCCGTGCGCTCAGGTAGATGCAGGTTCCCAGACACTGTAGCTCTGTGCCTCAGTTTTCTCACCTATAAAACAGGGATACTAGTGGTGTCTACCTCACAGGGTCGATGTGAGGAGTAACTGAGTAATTATATGTAAAGCACATTCGTTATTATCCTTGTTAATAGTAATGTTATTGTTTTAGTTCCTTGTGTCTGGTTCAGGGCTGGGCTTAGAGGAGGCCTCAGAAAATGGGGCAGAAGAAGAACTGGCTTAGGAATTAGAGGCTGAGGCTTTAGTCTCCACTCCCTACCCTACCTGCCTGTCTGCTGTGACCTTTAGGAAAATTTCTACCCCTTCTCGGTGCCTCAGTTTCCCCCTCTGTCAAAGGGCCCCGTGCTGATGCTGATGGTTCTCACCTGGTACCTGAGGATCAGCTGAGGCAGGTCCATAGCAGACCCCACTCTCATGCATTTATTTGCTCTGATATCCCAGGAACCCCTGTCCTGTCCCTGCCTCGAGTATGCCTGCATGCCTGTCCCCTCTCCTACCCTCCAGACCAGGGAGGGACCTTGGCATCGGCTGCTTTGCCAGCCGGCTACACCTTACCTTCTTGTCTTTTCTTTCAGTGTTTGACCTCCTGAGAAAGGGGTGAGTTCCCCGTCCTGATCAGGCAGGTCAAGTCTCATCCAGGCCTTCCTTCCTTTCCCTCCCTGTGTCCCCAGCCCAAGGGTCAGCTACTCTAGGAGAAGTCAGAGACGGAGGCCCTGCCCTTAGGGGTAAATAAGAGACCAAGAGGACCATTCTTTGAAGGCGGATGGGGGTCAGTGAGACTGCAATAGTCAGCAGGGAGACCTCTGGAAAAGGGGATGGATTTTGACCCAGACCTTGAAGAACTGGGAAGATAGGGATGGAGGAGAGGGGGAGGAAAGGAGAAAGGAGTGTTTTTTAGGTCAAAGTATAGAGGTGGGACTCAACTCTTAGCGGTATTCAAATCACAGAGGGTTTTTCAGCTTTCCAACCAGTCTGTGAACGCAGTGGGTGGGATTCCATTTGCTCCTATTTGTGAGCGGGAAAGCCGAGGACCAGAGATGGTATGTGGCTTGCTCAAGGTCACACAGCGAGTCACTGATGGAGCCCAGGTTCCACATGTCTGCCCTCTGCGGCTTTTCAGGGTATTTACAGAGCAGATGACATGGAGTAATGAGCACGGGGCTGGGTGTTCCGGGACCCTCACTGCCAAGGCTTGAATGCAGGCTGCAGCTTGTCTCTCTGCCTGGGCAGCTTCCTACAGACCATTTTGGGGAGAGGGGCAGGGAGGGGTGTCCCTTTAAGACTTGGAGGCTTTCACATGTGTTGACCTCTATCCAAAACAAGAAATATATATTTCTATTGCTATCGGTATCTGTAATTGAAACCAAAGTTTTACAGAACAGCATATATCTTTACTACATGCAATATATTCTGATATATTCTACTTATTTCGGAAAAAAAAAAAAAGCAGTTGCCTCCCACTAAATTGATTTCGTGATCCTCTCTTGGGTCTGGATCCACCGTTTGAAACACAGTGCTCCAAATGGCATCTTTGCAATCGTTTGATTATAGACTATTAGGTACTTAGAAGAAGGAATATCAAGGCAATCAGAAATTAAGAGAAAGCTGATTTGAAATTATGATTGAAACGGGACATGTATGAGTATGTGTGCTTTACATTTTTTATTATATAGCAGAAAAAGCTAATATCTTGGGTTCTAGGGACCCATGTGGGCACAGGTTTCCCGGGACGTCCCGACCGCCTGAATGGCCGGGTGCCCTGATTTCGGCTAAATGCCCCTCCCGCATCCTTCTCCATAGGCCCGTCATGGAAGTGCCCTGTGACAAGCCCTTCTCGGAGGAGCAAGCTCGCCTCTACCTGCGGGACGTCATCCTGGGCCTCGAGTACTGTGAGTGCGGGGCACCCTGCCCACTGGGACTGAGGCTAGGGGATCTGGCAGGCAGCAGAGCCCAGGCTGAGCAGACTCTGAGCAGCTCCTGTCAGTCAGAGCTGGCCTGCCAATCAGCTTCAGTGGGAGTGGGGCATGCACGAGTGGGCGGGGCCAAGGCCTGGGGGTGGGGTGGGGCGGGCGGTGGACTTCACTGGGCATGCGCCAGATCCTTCAGTGTATCTGCTCCTGTGGGTCTGAGCCCTGGCTGTTCTGAATCTTTCTTCTGCTGAGTTCTTAGCCTAGCTTAGCGTTGCCACGGGGCCTCAAGAGATGCGGGAAGGCAGGGATGTATGTCCAACTGCTGGGGGAAGTGTCTGTCCTGGCATGGGGCCAGGGCATGGTGCCAGGGTGGGTTTAACTGTGAGGGGCCCTAGCGTGATGAGAGGTCAGAAGGGTGATGTGAGCTTGGCCTCTGTCTCATTTCAGTCATTAGCTGCATTCACTTGCCTGGGGGCATAGGGGTGAAAGACCCAGACCTGAGTTCACCGCCTGGTGGGAGGGACAGGAATCTAGGCAGGCAGATAATATAATGTGGTGCCTGCCAAGGCTGGGGAGCCCAGAGGCCGTCGGAGTGCCAGGGGGGCTGGGGAAGTCTCCCTGAAGAGGCTACTTATGATTCAGGTCCTGAGGGATGAGTCGAGTTCCCTGCTCAGGTTTTGAGGGATGGGGGTAGGAGACAGTGTGCCCAGCATAGGCGAATACTCTTTGAGTCTGGGGAGAAGTGGAGTCTGGCTGAAGCCTCCAGTGGGCAGAGGAGGGCAGTGGTTAGTGAAAGATGATGCTGGAAACACTGTCCAGGCCCCAGCATGAGGGCTGGGAATGCCTCTCCTGAGGTCTTTGCTGACTTCATCCTGCCAGCTCTGTGAGGCCCTGAGAGCTTTAAGCATGGGGAGGGGCATGATGGGATTTGTGCCTGAGAAAGCTGTCTGGCAGCTGTGTGGTGGCTGGATTGGAGTGTGTCATCAGAGGGTGAGAGGCAGCCAGCTGGCCAGGGAGGAGGCTGTTTCTGCAGCCCAAGTGACAGATGGTGAGGCCTGGATTAAGGCAGTGGCAGCGGGGTAGGGATAGGAAGGAGGTGGTGTGGTCAGCATGGGGTGACTTGCTGGTCTGGGGAGAGGAGAGCCCCTAGACATCTAGGGTCCTGGCTTGGATTGGGGACCAGGGAAGATGCCCATCTCTAAAATCTTTTTTTTTTTTTTTTTTTTTGAGACGGAGTCTCGCTCTGTCGCCCAGGCTGGGGATCTCAGCTCACTGCAAGCTCCGCCTCCCGGGTTTACGCCATTCTCCTGCCTCAGCCTCCCGAGGAGCTGGGACTACAGGCACCCGCCACCTCGCCCGGCTAGTTTTTTGTATTTTTTAGTAGAGACGGGGTTTCACCGTGTTAGCCAGGATGGTCTCGATCTCCTGACCTCGTGATCCGCCCGTCTCGGCCTCCCAAAGTGCTGGGATTACAGACTTGAGCCACCGCGCCCGGCCCCATCTCTAAAATCTTAGCTTGGGCCGGGTGCAGTGGCTCATGCCTGTAATCCCAGCACTTCGGGAGGCCAAGGCGGGCAGATCACCTGAGGTCGGGAATTCGAGACCAGCCTGACCAACATGGAGAAACCCTGTCTCTACTACAAATATAAAATTAGCTGGGTGTGGTGACGCACGCCTGTAATCCCAGCTACTCGGGAGGCTGAGGCAGGAGAATCGCTTGAACCTGGGAGGCAGAGGTTGCAGTGAGCCGAGATCACGCCATTGCACTCCAGCCCGGGTGACAAGAGCAAAACTCCATCTCAAAATACATACATACGTACATAAAAATAAAAAATAAAATCTTAGCTTGGTTTCTTGGGAGCATATTCTTTCCCTGGGGGAACGGGGTGGGGATCTGGCTGAGGTTTGACCTGCAGTGACAGAAACAGGACTGTCTTTATCCTGTTTGAGCCTCTCCTTTGCCTTCAGATTAAGACTCTCTTTGCACATATGGGGAAACTGAGGCACACAGAGGCGAGGGCTTTGCAGAAAGTCCCTACCAGTGGTCTAGAGGCATGGGATGGGAAGGGGACATTTTACCCCTGGTACGGTCTGTGGCAGGCACAATCCTGTACCAGCGTGACTCCACCTCCTTCCCATTGTGGTCCCTTCTTTCCCCTGAAGTCCTGTTGTCTGCTGGCCCCTAGTCTCCACAAAGAAACCAGTTTATCTTACCTGGTTCTTGGGTAAAAGCCTCATCAGGACCCAGCTAATCATAGTGAAGGACCTTCCCTGGGGCAGAGTGGTTAGTACCAGGGGCTGGGCAGGTGGATGAACAGAGGCACCAGGGCGCCGAAGACCTGCCTTGTGATTCTGGCCCCAAGAAGGGAGAGTTGAGGCTGCCCTGAGAGGGCTCAGTGGTCAGGGCAGCCCAGGCCTGGTCCTCAGTCGATGGGGGCAGGTGCGGCGATGCAGGTGATGAGAAGCAGTTGGATCTCGAATAGATGTGAGCAGCTGAGCTCGCAGACCTGGCTGATGGGAAGGGTGTGGGGTCTCAGAGGAGGAGTTGAGGATGATCCTGAGGTTTCTGGCCTTTCACAGAATGGGAAAGAATGGGGACCGGCAGGGGCTTTTTGTTTTATTTTGTTTTGGTTTGGTTTTGTTGGTGGTGGGCGTTGCAGGCAGAGAAATCGAGTTCTGAATTAGACATGTTGTTACACTGTGTTGAGATACACAGAGACATATATCGACGCCTAGCTGCCTGGTTACCTATCAAGATGTCTACTGGAAATCCATGTGGGTAAAGAGCTGGAGTCCAAGGGAGAGGCTGGGGTTTGAGATAAGAACATGAGACTGCTTTCCATGGTCAAATATCCACCCCCGAGCTTCTGTGCCCTCATGGGTGTGAGTCAGATTCCTCGTGTGAGGTACGCCTGGCACATAGTAGGCATTCAAGAAAGTGCCACTGGTTTTACGGTTATTGTTATATGGCACCCGTCCTCTCTGCCCCCAGCCTCCCTCTCCTCCTCTCCCTTCCCCTCTCTTCTCTCGCCTTCTCTATTCCCTCCTCTCCAACATCCTGGGGTCTGTTGGTCCAGGGGGAGGTATTTGCCAAGGAGGGAGCCCACAGGTCGGTGGTTGTGGGATGGGGTCAGTGTCTCTCTTGGCTGGGACCTTTCCGGCCATCTCAGCCTGAGCCACCCATCACTTTGTGGTGGTCCTGGGCCCAGGAAGCAGGGCAGGTTTCCAGCCTATTAGGTCATTTCTGATTTGGGATTTGTCCTACTGTACGTGGCTGACCTTACACCCCAGCTGTGTCATCCTGCTCGTCCCAAGGCCTGGGGTGCCATCCATCTCTGAAAGCGCATCAGCCCAGATCCCTAGGGCTGAGATGGTACCTCTGTAGGATAGCAGAGTCACGACAGTCTTACCGTCAGTCCCAGCAGCAGGGACATCTGCCTAGCCTGGGTGGGGGTTGGAACTGGAGAAAGGTTTTGATGGGCTTTGGGCCTGCAGACGGCACTCACAGGGAAGGGGCAGAGCTGGCCTAGGAAGAACTCTCCTCCCAGCCGGGGGCAGCGGCTCACGCCTGTAATCCCAGCACTTTGGGAGGCTAAGGCGGGCGGATCACCTGAGGTCAGGAGTTCCAGACCAGCCTGACCAACAAGGCAAAACCCCATGTCTACTAAAAATACAAAAAGTAGCCAGGCGTGGTGGCAGACACCTGTAATCCCAACTACTCGGGAGGCTGAGGCAGGAGAATCGCTTGAACCTGGGAGGTGGAGGTTGCAGTGAGCTGAGATTGCACCATTGCCCTCCAAGCTGGGCGACAGAGCGAGACTCTGTATCAAAACAAAACAAAACAAACAACAACAACAGAAACCAACTCTCCTGCCCTAGTTTCCTCTGACCTCCCCACTCAGCAGCAGGTCCCTTGTTTGTCATGGAGAGGGCACTGGACTTGGAGTCCAAAGATTCCTAAGATTCCAGTCCTGGCTCTGCTGCTCACACCTGTCTGCACCTACATGGAGCCGATGGCCCTGACGTCCTCCTCCCAGGTCGTCACCAGACGAAAGTGTGCATGGGCTGGGATGTCCCAGCCGGCATCCCTGGCTGGGCGAGGACAGATGTGGGGTCCTGGGCAGCAGTGCCCAGGCCAGCGCTCAGCTCAAGCTCCCTTTCTCTGCAGTGCACTTCCAGAAGATCGTCCACAGGGACATCAAGCCATCCAACCTGCTCCTGGGGGATGATGGGCACGTGAAAATCGCCGACTTTGGTGTCAGCAACCAGTTTGAGGGGAACGATGCTCAACTGTCCAGCACGGCCGGGACCCCGGCATTCATGGCCCCCGAGGCCATTTCTGATTCCGGCCAGAGCTTCAGTGGGAAGGTGACTCACGGGCTCTGGGCCAGGCTGGGGTTCCTGTGGGGGGCGTAATAGCTTGCTGCAGGGGCCCAGTTTCTAACCTGAGGGTGCCAGGGTCCTCATGTCTAGGGAGCGACATATTTGCTTCTCCCCTGGAGCCTGACGAACTCCACAACTTTGGCCTTCTGTTTTCCAGCAAAGTGGCCCCAAATCTCCCTTGCAGATATTTACTGTTGGGTGCTCTGTGCTAGGTTCTGGACCGGGCTGTGGAAGAGGCAGAGCCAAAGAGAACCCTGTTTCCTGCCCTCTGGATGGTTTCAGGAGAAGTTGGGGGTCCCTGCAGATCTTGGGACATGGCAGGATTTGAACTGTTCCTTGAAGAATGGGGAGGATCTGAGCAGGACCCGGAGCCCAGAGAATAAACCAGAGAACAGAGGGGCACAGGGTGGGGGGCAGAGGGTAAAGGGCCTGGAAGTTTGGGCTTTCTCCTAAGCAACAGAAGTTGGCAAAGTTACCTGAACAAGAGGTTACACAGTCTGGCGCAGTTCCCTAGGCTCTTGGCTGTTTCACCTGTGGAATGCCAGCCGCCCCACTGCCAGGGAGGCTGTGGGTAAGTGGCATTTGGACACATGTGAGTATCCAGGAAAGAGGTCAGGAGGCCGGGCACAGTGGCTTATGCCTGTAATCCCAGTGCTTTGGGAGGCCAAGGCAGGTCTCTTAAGGCTAGGAATCTGAGACAAGACGGGGCAACATAGCAAGACCCCATTTCTACAAAAAAAATAAAAACATTAGCCAGGTGTGATGGTGCGCACCTGTAGTCCTGGTTACTCGGGAGGCTGGAGTGGATCGCTTGAGCCCAGCAGTTGAGGGCTGTAGGGAGCCGTGATCGCACCACTGCACTCTAGCCTGAGCAACTGAGTGAGACTTTGTCTCTAAAAAAGAAAGAAAGAAAGAGGTTGGCGATGTTGATAAAGATTTTTTTAAATGTTTTATTTTGATATAATTCTAAATTTACAGAAAAGTTGGAAGAATAGTACAAATAAATCCCATATGTCTTTTTACCCAGATTCACCAATTGTTGACATTTTGTCCCACTGGCTTTTTCATCATCTTTTTCTATTTATCTGTATTCATACTACATTTTTCTGAGCCATTTGAAAGTTACATTGAAGGTATTATACCCCTTTATCACTAAATACATTAGTGGATATTTCCTAAGAACAGGGACATTCTCTTACATAACCTCAGTACAATGATTAAAATTAGGAAATTCATCATTGATAAGACTTATGTATAGGCCGGGCACAGTGACTCACGCCTGTAATCCCAGCCCTTTGGGAGGCCAAGGTGGGTGAATCACCTGAGGTCAGGAGTTTGAGACCAGCCTGGCCAACGTGGTGAAACCCCATCTCTACTAAAAAACACAAAAATTAGCTGGGCGTGGTGGCAGGTGCCTGTAATTCCAGCTACTTGGGAGGCTGAGGCAGGAGAATCATTTGAACCCAGGAGGTGGAGGTTGCAGTGAGCTGAGATCGTGCCATTGCACTCCAGCCTGGGCGACAGGGTGAGACTCTGGAAAAAAAAAAAATTATATATAATCCACGGACCTTATTTAAATGTTATCAGTTGTCCTGATACTGTCCTTCACAACCTGTTCTTTTTCTGGTCCCGGGATCCGATCCAGGGCCACTTGCTGCGTTCGCCTTCTTGTCTGGGGTGTCCTTTCATCTGGAAGAGGGCCGAGAGGCCTTGGCCTTCCTTTGTCTGTCCTCGATCGTTGACTTTTTTCTTTGTTCTGTTCTTTTGTCTCTCTGTTTTTGTTTTCTCTTTTTTTGAGCGGAGTCTCGCTCTGTCACCCAGGCTGGAGGTGCATGGCCGGATCTCAGCTCACTGCAAGCTCCGCTCCCCCGGGTTGCCACACCCTCTTCTGCCTCAGCCGCTCCGAGTAGCTGGGACTCACAGGCGTCCGCCACCGGACGCCCGGCTAGTTTTTCTTGTATTTTTTTAGTAGAGACGGGGTTGCACCGTGATTAGCCAGGATGGTCTTGTCTCCTGACCTCATGATCCGCCCGTCTTGGCCTCGCCACAAGATGCATGGATTACAGACCTTGAGCCACCGCGCCGCCTGACCCTTTTATTATTGGAGAGGAGTCTTGGCGCTACTGTTGCCACAGAAGAGGAGACTAAAAAAGTGCAGTGCGCGAGTTTGATCACTGCAAGCTCCGCCTCCCGGGGTTCAGTTCCGTTGG